ACACACACACACACACACACACACACACACATATATATATATATATATATGTATATATATATATATATAATCCGAAACGATAGTTGTAACGCTGAACAACTCTATTTGGAGTACTGGTGTACTTCTGACTAGTCGCTGTGTTGACTGATGAGAAATCGACATCTCAGATCGCCTTCATTTAGACAAGTGTATCTTTACATCACCAAGTCTTTCTGCCATGACTTAATCAAACCCGATATTCCAAAATTTGTCCTTATCGTCACCCTCAACTGTATAGCATTTCTCACAGTATTGTTTAGCGTTCTACGGTTCTAAGGTTCTAGGGTTACAGGGTTGTAGCGTCCTGTCGGATTCTCATATGAACTGCTTGACTGTCTAACTCCACAGGCCCAATCAGAGAAGTACAGGAGGATAGCGGAAACGACATTCGGCAAAGAGACGACAGCGTAAGTAATACCAGTGTACAGTACAGTGGTAGTAACAACAATAATGTTGGAGGAGAATGATTACATCGGACACAGAATTCATATGAAGCGCAGCCTTGTTGTCCTGCACGCATCTATATATAGTCCCGTTAGATAGGTATCTAAAATATATATTTCCGTTAGATGGGTATCTAATTGACGGGTTTCATCAAACAGTAATAGCTTTCGTTAGTGTTTGTTTGCCATTCCACACTTTTGTATATAACGATCCACCGGTAAACGAAGGTAACATTGTTTGTCGATAGATGTTCGACGTCAAAGTAACCCTCCCGCGTCGTATGCTTCTATAAATAGATCAACCAAGGCAATACGCCAATGTAGACCACACATTTTGTACATTAATATTAAGATATCAACCAGTGCAATACATTAATGCAAACCACCCATTGTTGTATAATTCTATAAATAGATCCGCAAGTGACGGGGCTGCACCCGAAAGCCAGGGCAAGGCAAAAGACGAATCAAAAGGACGACAGATGGTCAAAGCACCAATCACTATCGATGAACGTCTGAGAGCGATCAATTCTAACCCCAGGAAAAGAAAGGTCGCGGTAAGTGCGTGTGCACAAGTAGTACTGTCATGGTGTTTGAGTGTGTATACTAGTATATATAAGCACGTACATACATGTTTTAAGACTTTAAGACGTGGATCATGCTCTGGCATTTGTGTTGATGAAGTATGCCTAGATATGCCTTTCGCCGATGACTTTCGATGTGTGTGAGTTGCTGCGATCGAAGTGAGAGGGGGAGTGCATATGTGTGTGTGAGAGAGAGAGGATGTGTGTGTGGCTGCAAAAAAAGGTGTCAAAATGTGTGTGCTTCGCACCATAAACTCATCAGTAAGTGATGCTAGTTGCATCTCTAAGACATTGTGCGGGTACTACACTGTGGTGCATACAATAGGGACCCCTCACGGATGGTTCTAATGTATATATTGGGATGTGTACATTAATTATATCTAATTATATGCGCACCTTCATACATATTTGTACGTGTGTATGTGTGCGTGTGATGCAAGGCTTGTGCTCACACCGCAACTACTTTATCTTCTCACTCAACTCAGGTGCCAAGAGACTTCTTCGGTAGGGTCGTAGAGGCCAAACCTGCAGCCGAGACTGTGCCGACGGACGCCGAAGGGAAACCAATAAGTATCAAACCCGAGGTGACCGTGTGGCTGAGTTACAACCAAGGTTTTACTAACGCTGTCAAGCGCCCGGTCAAGGTTACAGACCTTCTTTAGTGCTAAGCCTCGAATAGCGAGCGTAGTAACATGTGCCGTTCCTTAAATAGGTCAATATATATATATATATATATATACACACACACACATACATACATATATATATATATATATATATATATATATATATATATATATAGTATACGACGTACGACGAC